ATTATGGCTTTGCTTCTTCATCCAATCAAAGTACGATTAAAGGCCTCCGACATGTTGTTGTCTACAACGTCACACTTAACAGATGTTCTCAGAAATGCTTTGCACCACAACTTGAATGGGTACTTCTCTATATCCTCTCTAGCTTTACTGTCTTTCTTACCCTATAATTCTAATGACTCTTGAAGTTGTGATTGTGAAGTAGACCTCGCACACATCCAAAAAAGTATCTTCATGTATGTGCCTCTGTGTTCCTTACTCCAATTTGCATGAATGTGCCTTGCACAATTCCTATGCTCTGCTTCAGGTAGTAAAGCTTGAATGACATTGATCAGGCCCTACAAAACATTATCAAAGTCACAGTTAAAGGTACTAATAATACGTAATTACAGGGCTAAAGTTAAAGGTACTAATATTAAGTACGTAATTATAAAACATTGGCAGAATATGTACCTAGTTATAAGTTATTCATTAACCACAAAGTAATAATAAGTAATAATAAAGTTGAGCTATGTAGTAGTTTATTTTCTGTAAATATAAGTAATAATAAACACTTAATACCTTTTGTTGATCACTAATAACTGTCCACGGGCTGCTGTCAACAATCTGCAGGTCCTCCTTAAGCAACTCCAAAAACCAGCTCCATGATGATGTGTTTTCTATCTCCAACACAGCCCAAGCTATTGGGTACATGTTGTTTTTAGCATCTCTTCTTACGGCTGTCAGAATCTCTCCCTTTAATAAACCTTTCAAGAAACAGCCATCTAAGCCAATAATCTTTCTGCATCCATCTAGGAATCCTCTCTTCATTGCACCAAAACAACAATAGATTCTTTGAAAAAGGCAAGGTCCATCTGGGATTGTTCTGGTAGTGAGAATCTTCATGGTGCTATTAGGAATGGAGTCGAGGCATTCTTGAGCATAGTCCCTCAGTCTAGTAAACTGCTCTTCAAAATTTCCATTTATTTTCTTCTTAATTGCTTTCAATGCCCTCTTTACCATGCTTGTTGATACATGTATGCCCAACTTAGACTCAATATGCTCCTTCAAACCAGCATACCCGAGGGAAGGTTCATCTCTGATTTTTTCCTCATATTTGTCCTCCAACCATTTTTGACTAACAATCCTTAACTTAAATTTGCTATTACATCTATGAGTCATGACCATACTCTTGATTTGGAAACACTTGTACCTATCCTCCCAACTGACATAACAAGAGAAGGGACAATTCTCTCCTGCACATTTTACCAAAACTCTGTGCGCTGAATTTTTCTTAAAGTAAAGGTTCTTTTTATAGTGCACTGCATATGCAATCACTGCATTCTTAAACTGAATATTATCCTCGAAAAGCATCCTTAGTTCAATGGAAGGAGGATCAAATCGGGGGTTGTATGAAACTACTTCAATCTTCTTCTTAGATTGGACTTCTCCTTCATTGAGTGACTCTGTTTCAGAAGTATAGGTAGCTGGGTTTTCTGAAGAATATAAATCATCTGTATCATGAATTTCAGCATCCTCTTCATGTGCACATTCAATTCTAATTTTCTTGGACTGTCCCCGCACCACATGTTCTTCATGACATGATTGCACTTCCACAATGCATAAGTGGTTCGTCCCAACCCCTGACTCATCATTGTCACTCCCATCAAATTCATCAGAGTCATTCCCATCAACATTTTCTACATCTTCATCACCATGTAAGGATCCAATATCATCATCTAGATCAGGTTCATCACTCATGTATGTGTCATCCCTTTCATCAACAAACCCAACTGTTTCCATTGTATCCATATTATGTGTGTCAGCACCAACATCATCCCCATGATCTACATAAAGGTCACACTTTCCTACACTAGAACACAAACTGACCAACTCCAAAGTGCTTGCATCATCCACTAATTTCCTTAATGCTTCTAATGGTTCATATGGCAGTTTAAAAAGCATTTCTTTTACACATCCAAATGGCCGAGATTCAATATATTTCTTCAAATGAGGATAAGAAATGACACCTCGGTCACTCTTAATTACCACAATGCTCTCATTCACATACCTCGTTGGTCTGCCCCTTTCAAAACTTCCACCATAGTGTACAATTAAATCCAAAGTCTCCCACATTCTGAAATATATAACATTTTTTAAACAAATAACCAACACATATACAAAATAAACATACACACGAGATATATAACACATATACATACAGTTCACAACCTCAATGTCAAGAAATCATACAATTAGGGTATCTATTTTTTCAAAATTTCTCTTCCATTCTTTAATTAGGGTATCTTGAACAATTCACTTAAATACAGATAATCATTTACGGAAATCCTTCTTCAGTTGTAATAGTTGGCATACAAACGATAGACTTTTATTATGCGTAGAACTATAAGTTTAAGCTGCAATTGAATTTTTGGTACATTGTGTTTATCGTCGCTCGTCCTTCGCTTATTATACATACAGTTTAGGTCTCCTCTTTCTCCATGTCCTTCAGCGTTCTTTCTTCCCTCTTCGCCCTTCACTAGTTGTGCTCGTTGTGCTTGATTGTTCGTCTAGGTCAAAATTCGTCACTGTTCATCGGCGCTCTTGGCAAGGCTTTCCAGATTTTTCATTTTCGTAATGTCAAGACAAGCATTCCTTCCACGTCGTAATGTATTTGCATAAGTTAAGATAACACTTGGCACTTAACCGGCTGACTCAACATTAAAAAGTTGTCTTACCGGCTAAACGAAAAAATTGAACGATTTTGAAGAGTTGGAGGATTGGAGTGGACCTTTTTTTAGTTCGAGTACCCAATTGAGCTATTGATATGGGTACAGGGACCTATTTGACCCTTTAGCCTACAAAACAGTCCGCAAACACAGTCGTATATAATTTTTTACAGTAAATTTTGTTTTATTATGTCCGATGACTATTCTCTTACTGCATGTCATCAGTTTATTATTTAAAATAGATATACTTATCTGCATCATAATAATGTCAACGGCTATAAGTGTTGGAGGTAATAAATTAACTTATCTACTATTAACCAAAGGTATGTTTGATTAATTTTCTATTCATTCATTTTCCCAACTTGTATTTTATTTTGATTTCTATACATTTTGCTTTTCATACCAAGCAATTCAGGTATGTGGAGGAGTTTACAGTCACTGTGCACTCTGCGGTAGTGTTGGATTCGGTTCGGGCCACCCGGCCCGTGACCCGGCCCGGCCCGTGACCCGGCCGGCCCGGTACTGTGCGGGCCCGGTACCGGGTGTGGACCCGAACCGGTGGGAATGGGCGGGGCGGGCACGGTGCCGGATAAATGTGACCCGGCCCGGCCGGGTCGGGCCCGGGTCCGGGCGGTCTGATTTTTAATTTTTTTTTTGAATTGGGCTACTAGTCGTTGGGGGTGGGCTGGGGACAACCCAAACGGCTATATAGCCGTTGGGTGGGGTGCAGGGGGGTCCGGGGGGGTTGGGTGGTGGGGTGGTGGTGGGGGGGGGTGGGGGGTATAAAAACCTATAAATACTCCTAATCTTAAACATTTTTTCATATCTCTTCTCCAATTCTTCCTAAATCCTATTCTTAATTCTCTACTCTCTAATTCTCTTATTCTCCAATATATTATATTTATTATTTATATATCTACTTTATAGTTTATACTTAAGAAGTTAAGATGGAAAATCAAGATGCCATTATACGGTATAATTTTGATAAGCAGAAGGACCCGAAGACCGGGATGTGGTACGCAATTTGCAAATGGTGCGAGAAAAAATGTAGTATGGGGGTTTCAGGCGGATACGGGATGTCAATCAAGCATATGAAGTCATGTGACAAAGCCAAAGGATCGGGAGGTGCGGGAAGTTCCGATTGATTACAATTTTCAAAATGTTTCTCTTAAAGTTTGTTTTAATTTTCAAATGTAGTTCCTATTTCATTTCAAATAAATGCACTTGAAGTTTGTTTTTAATACTCGTATAAAACTATAAACTATAAAATATAAATTATAAAAAAAATTAACCGGCTCGGCCCGAACCGGACCCGACCCGTGACCCGGGCGGGTGGCCCGGCCCGAACCGGACCCGTCCAACCCTCGGGCCGGTCCCGGGCCCATGTCATACAAACCGGCGGCCCGACCGGGCCTAGGCCTGGCCCGGGCCCGACCAGGCCCGAGTCCATCAATACTCTGCGGTATCACACTTTCCACATTAAGGAAGTTGCTCTATAGCCGTTCTTTTATAAATGTGCTAGCCAGAACTTTAAAGATTTGCTTTCACTCTTTTATTCATTGTTATCTAATTTGATTGTTCATGACAGTTTAACTTCAAACATTCAAAACAGTGAAAGTTGAGGCTTTCTTAATTGGCTCGGCAGTTTGAAATGTGCAATGGAAATTCATTACGGGACACAGGAAATTCTTTCAATAGGTTGAAGAGGTTTTTTAGATACATACCCACATCTTAGTGCTCCTCAAGAACAGTTTTATGGCTTAGCACTTATGAATACTTCCTTAATTGGCTCAACAGTTTTTTTAACTACTCTTTTATGAGAACTTAGCGTTGTACTTTTTGTTATAATATTCTCCACCTCTAACTTTGTTATGTTCATGTTTCTTGTTATTTTGGCGTTCTTTGCATTGAACTTTTTGCTTCCATTGGGCATCAATCTCGCGCAACGCGCGTGCCCGTGCTAGTAATATAATATAGTTCTATAAAAACTCCATATAATTTGTAAAATAAAAAGTTCACACTTCAATATAATTACGAGTATGAGCTAATTTAGGTAGACTAGACTCAACCCGAAATGTCCCCAAACTATGCTATCCAATGGAGTAATCAAGATGACTCATAGATGAGCATGCATTTATGATGAAGCTACGATTTACGTCAGTGTGTATAGATCAGTTCACCAGCTACCTACAATCGATCTGCTTGCTAACCTCCTACCGCTTTTCAATTATTTCAATTCATACATCATGTATATATATATGAATTTCATCTTGAAGTTTAGAAATAAGAACTTAATTTGATTATAAAAAAAATACAATGGAGAGCATAAGTGAGTTGAGATGGAGAGGGAAAAGCCTTAAAGGTATCCAAACAATGTCAAGAAAGAACGCAAGGGAGGAATACGAAGACGAGCCACTGAGTCCATCAGCTCTGATGTTTCACGAACCCAACTTCAACGTGCATGTCATCGCAGTGATGGGGATCAAGTGCACCCTCCAGCCTCAACTCATCAAGGACACCTTGGTCCACACCTTGCTAAAGCACCCTCGTTTTGCCAGCGTCCCGGTATTCATGCATTTTTATAGTTTTAACTCCGTAATTAACTTAATACGTATAAAGAGAAAATTAACCCACATGTGACTCAAATTAACTCCCTATTATGAACACCTTCTCCCTATCCTGATATAACTTCTAAATCCAGTATCAGTTTTCAAGGATTCAAAATCAACATGTTGACCATGTAAATTATCTGTCAAATTAATTTTGACATTCCACAATAATTTGATTCAATTATTCATTTATTAATGGCAAACCATTTGAATGAATATGCGAACTACTCTAGGCATAAAAATTATTTCAATATTTTACGATATATTTAGGATTCGTTATAATGTATGTTTAGGATTCGTTATTTCAAAAAATTATTTCAAAACTTTACTAAAATTATTTCATAATCAACTTTATTATATATTTTGTATTCGTTGCACTATAAAACTATATAGTATCTATTTTGTGTGATGATAAATTGTTCTGGGAGTCAAATATATAAATATTTATACATAAATATTTTGTCTGTACGTATTATTATATTTTATAGTATTTATATTAAATATTTGTGATAAAGACAAAATATATTCATAAAATATGTACACGAAAGCATAGTTGAATAAAGATTGGTTGAGTACGAGGGAGTCATTGACCACGAATTGTGTAGGATTGTAACAATGTCAAGTTGAGGTAAATGAAGTTGGTTGGGTGAGGGTAGTTGGGTAGCGACTCTTATTATTTTTAATTATAGTAATATATAATTACATTATTAAAGTTTTATGCCACGATATTGAAAGAAACATTTTCATTTACAAGAAACAAAAGTAGACATCTTTTACAACGTATTTGTTTTTATTTTGTTTTTAATTGTTCATCCTATTTAAAAAAGTAAGAGAGATTTATCTAAATAGGAGTAAATAAATCTTTAATTGACAAAATAGGAGTGAATTTTAAAAATTCCCTAAATAGGAGTTATTATTTGTAGTTGGACAAAAACATCCCTAAAGCTGGGAAAACATACTTCCGCCGACAGAACGCCGGACCACCGTCGACCGCCACCGGATCGTCGCCGGCCGAAGGTCTCCGCTGGCCGCCAACCGTCTCTGAAATAGCTGCCGCTGCAGATCTGGCCTCCGCCGTTGTAGATCTGGACAGATCCGCCACCGACCGCCACCAATCGCCGCTGCTGCAGGTTCGGCCTCCGCCATTGCAGATCTGGAAGCCACCGTCACTGATATCAACATTATATCAGAATGGCAAGTCGAGAATGCCAAGTCGAGAATGCCAAGTCGAGAATGGCATTTGCAAAATAAAATATGGTATTTTTGGAGTAAAAAATGACATTTTCATGACACTTTTAAAACAAATTTTGACATTTTTTAAAAATCAAAGAAGATGAAGCCGTTGCTATCATATGCTAAAAATCTCAAATTTATAAGATGTGTGGTGCAACAAAAGAGGGAGAAAGAGAGATAGAGAATAGCTAGAGAGGGGGAGTTGAGGAAGAAGAAGGAAGAGATAGATAGGGGAGAATAATGAGCCTCAATTTCACCCTCGGATCTGAACAAAGCTCGTCGCCGGCCGCCGCTGCTCGTCGTGGCTTCTTCGCTGCTCGCCGCTTGCCACCGTTGCTCGTCTTGCCTCCTTTGCCGCTCGACGCCGCTTGCTACTGTTTGCCGCTGCCGTTGTTCATCGCGGCTTGTCATCGCTCATCGCTCATTTGCAGCTCGATTATGTTCATCGCAGCTCTCATACGTTGCAGACTTCAACTTTAGAAGAAAGAGAGAAGGGGAGTGAGTGTTGAACCGTAAAAATTAATTGTGAAGGGCCAGGAGGGATAAAAGAGGTATAATGGTCTTATTTAGGGAATAAAATGATGCATTTATTTTGGAATTTAAGCAACATTTAACTCCTTTTGATTGGTTGAGTCTAAAAATACTTCCTCTAAACTTCCTATCAAAGGATCAAACTCCGGATAATAGAACACTGCCTTACGCTGCCATACTTTCATCTGCTCTCGTAGAAATAGCAGGAAAATAATGCAAATAAGGAAAAAAGCTAAAAGTGTTTAGCTGCCAGAAATAACATATCTGTATTTGAAATTCGAATTGCCTTTTATAGGCGATTACAAATGGTAACTGCCGAACATAATGACTAAATTAATTACAACATTAATACGGAATTAAATACATAATTAATAGCGCATTGATTGTTGGCTGTTACTCTTCCTGGCTGGCTAGCAGGTCGGCCTGGCTAGCAGGCAGAACAGTTGAGCTCCTCGGGCGGCAGGCTTCCGCTGGCTGGAAGGCAGGCTCCCCGCTCGGACGAAGAACAGGCTCCCCACTGGGCTGGAGGACAGGCTCCTCGCTAGGCCGAAAGGCAGGCTTCTGGTTGGGCCGGTAGGCAGGCTCCCCGCTGGGCTGGAAGGCAGGCTTCCGGTTGGGCCGGTGGCAAGCTCCCCACTAGGCTGGAAGGCAGGCTCCCCACTGGGCTGGAGGCCAGGCTCTTGGCCAGGCTGGAAGGCAGGCTCCCCGTTGGGCTAGATGCAGGCTCCTAACTGGGCTGGAGGCAGGCTCCTGACTGCGCTGGAAGGCAGGCCGCTGGCCATGCTGGAAGGCAGGCCATCTTGGGCTTCCGCTCCTTGATGGGCCTGATCGGTTGGGCCTACTCGAGCTCTAGATCGCCGGGCTTGGGCTTGCTGGTCCAAGTTCGGGGCCTGGGCCGATTAGACTCTGGGCCTGGTCCCATAACCCCATCATGAGTAAAAATCAAACAATAAGGAGTGTTTCTTTAAGTAAGATTAAAACATGTTATCTCCTTTTCGCTAATATTGAGAGAGGAAGCGGTATAGTTATTGAGAAAATGAATTTATGTGATTGGTATGAAATTAATAAACCAAGTATAACAACTATTGCAGAAACTTAAATTCCGCCTGTTTTTCCCATAGAGAACATAATACTCCGTATTATTATAACTAGTGTACCAGAAAATGTACTTTAAAATTTAATAAAAATAGTGAATTATCTAAATCGGAGTAAAACATGGCCAAAATTCACGAGTGGAAGTTTGAAAATTTCCAAAATATGACTTTTTGTGTTTGGACAAAAATGCCTCTGCATTTATATTAAACCTACCCGCTGCCACGGGCAACCACCAGCCACCACCGAATTCTGACCGCCAACTTTTAGTCGTATTTAATTTATGCAATTGTGTTTCCATTTAAACCTATTTAGAGTAATTATGAATACAAGAAATAGAAATTGCTTAAAGGATCAAAAAATATACTCAAAGTGAAAAAGTAAGACTAGCGTGTTTTATTCCTCAAATATGACTTATTTGATCCAATTTAAAGAATAAGTTAATCAAAACTTTCCAAAATTTGAGTGAATGAGTCCTATTTGTGAAATAAAACAATGATGATCCTATATATATAATTTTTAATCATTGTTTTAATTTAATCCTAGTTAAGGAATTTTTCTTTGGTACGTGATGCATGCATGTGCTTAATTGCTGGCTGCAGGTTGAGGACGAGAAGCATAAAATGAAATGGGTGGTGACGAAGGTGGACTTGGATCAACATATTGTTGTGCCGGAATTAGAAACGGACGACGACGACTACAATCCTCTCCTCCGCGGAGGGTCATCGCCGGCGGACAAGCTCGTGGAAGACTATATTTACAACCTGAGCAAGACAAGCCTCTCCAAATCAAAACCGCTGTGGGATCTCCACCTCCTCAACCTCAGAACCGCCGACGCCGAGGCCGTCGCAATCCTGAGAATCCACCACTCCCTCGGCGACGGCGCGTCGCTCATCTCACTGCTCTTGGCGTGCACTCGCCAGACCGCCCACCCTCATCTCCTCCCCACCATTCCGACAAAGAAAAGGCGGCCGCCGGCCGGCACCATGTCGTCGACCTCCTATGCATCCCCGAAATTCTGGACCTATTTTGTGTCGCTGTGGCATGTGCTGGTGATGATGTGGAACAGCTTAGGTGACGTGATTATGGCTGTCGCTACCGCCATGTTCCTCAAGGATACTGCTACTCCCATCAAGGCTATGCCTGGTTCTCAGTTTCATCCCAGGCGGGTCGTTTTTCGGACTGTGAGTCTACATGATTTCAAAGTCATTAAGAACGCCATGGACATGGTATGTATAAATATTGAGTTTTGAGATCTTTATGTCTAGTTATACACTTATACTCGCCCAATATATCTTGCTATACACAATTACTCACTCAAAAAACAAATTCTATTATATATCGACATATAAATATAGTCCCAAATTGATTTTGAAAATTTAACTTTTTTTTATTAAACAGTTTCATTTTATTTACTTAATTAGGATGTCATTTTTAATTATATTCTAATTAGGAGTTTGAAACTTTGAAGAAATTTTAACGTAGTTTATGAATGTGTAAACATTAATTAATAAAAATTAAATTAATATCAATATGAAGGATTTCACTTAAACTAATCCTTATATTCTAATATGAAGGATTGACTAAAATTAAATTAATATCAATTGATTGACTACGTATATAAAAAAAATATAGGGTATGTTTGATGTTTTAAGCTTTGATCACATGATGTAAATTTGTCAACTCACGTCCCCCCTAACAATATATAGATTTCTGACTCGACCTAGGTAACTAGTTTTCATAACAAACTTTTAAGGAATCTACTATTTTTCTTTTTGTTCTTCAAACGTTTTCTTAAAAAAACTTTTTCTTGTATTTTCAAACGTTTTCTTATTATAATATTACCAAAATATGTTGTTCTGTCCCATTGGACATTGCCATGTTTGAATTATGCATGTGAAAAATAAGAAAAGAAAAATTGTGTAATTCATATTTATGCAGAAAAGAGAGAAATAAACAAACAACAAATTACTTACTTTAATGGGAAAATGACAAAGTTTATTAGAAAGCTAAAAAAGGAAAGTTGGTAAACTCGGGTGGGACAGCAAAGGTACAAAATATAGTCACCTAATAATTCATTATTTTCTTTCTAAAATAGAACTCATTCACTCTTAATTTAATAAAATTAGGGGGTGTTTGAATTTGATTCTTAAAACTACAGCTGCTCCTTCAGGGAGCAGAAGCAGAAGTTGTTGTGTTTGGGTGAAAGTGCAGAAGTACTTACGCTGCTCTAATTTACTCCTAGAATCAGTTTTTTTAGAAGATGGTGGAGACCAGCTTTCTAAAAACTGATTCTGCTTCATCTTTAAAAAGAAGCAGAAGTAGAATCGATTCCAAACATCCCCTTAAACATTCATACGGAGTATAACAAAACAGTCATATTTTTAACGTAAATCATAAGCACGGTAAAACGAAGGATTACTTCAGAGATAGATTTTGATGTTATTTAATACAAGTATTATTTTGAACGAAAAGGGATTTTGTTAGAACTCATTCACTCCTAATTGAAGAAAATTATACTTTTAATAGGTTCAAAGGAGTCATATTTCTAAAATAAAACATAAGCCGTCATATTTCATACTTCGATTATATTTTATTTCAAGTCATTTCTTCTTTAATTAGGACATAAGTATACATAGTATTACTTCAAAGATAGAATAATATTTTGACTAGGGTTGAGCAAAATGATTTGGTTTAATCAAATCGAATCGAACTAAATCAAAAATTGGTAATTTGGTTTGGTTTGGGTTCACTTAAGTAAATCGTTTGATAACAGTTTGCTAAAACTTAATGGTTTAATTTGATTTGGTTTTAAATGAAAACTGAACCGAAATTTGTAATATTTATAAAAATAATTTGCATTTGTCTTCACTCTTCATCTTTAGGATATTAATAATGATGGTACTATGGACTCCACCATGGCTCAATTACGGAATTATAGATAAAGCTCATAAGTCATAACGGGATCAAACTCATAACGGGATCAAGCCTTCAACGGAATTAGCCTATAACGGGATCAAGCCCTCAACGGGATCAACCCATGAATGGGATAAATATCAATTAGCCGTTGGGCTTAACTAGGAATCAGACACCCACAACTAGGCCAGACTGGACGGCAGACCTCGAGCCTGGGCAGAGTTCTAGTGAGGTCGGGATATTCCTAGGGCTTACGTGGCAGGCTATCATTCGTGTATAGCTATCTGGCGGCAGGCAGGAACCAATAGCAGGAACGTGGACTTAAAGGAACAATCATTGCACAACGTCCCAAACGTTACAGGAGTCTTATTATTTGATTAAACGTGTGATTAATAACATTTATTGTATTAGTTTCCTCCTAGAATACTAGTTCCTAGAGTCTAAAAATACTTCCTGTAAACTTCCTATCAAAGGACCAAACTCCGGATAATAGAACACTGCCTTACGCTGCCATACTTTCATCTGCCCTCGTAGATATAGCTCTCGTAGTTGGATTAAACTCCATCAAATAAATAATTTAGATATAAAAAATACATGTTTAGCATATATCACTTTACCCTTTACACATCTATTAATTATGACAAACTTAACTAATAAGTCATACTTTATTTATGTGATATTATAAAAACTAATTAACTTGTACTACCTTCATCCCTCTGTTATTGTCTCATTGCGGTTTATGATGTTTGACCTACGATAAAGCAAACAGATCTCTGTCCGCACTCAAATTATTTTTAGAAAAAAAAAATACATATCCACGAACTATATTAAAAGCTCTACAAAGTCGCAAAAACCAGAATCCAATTTGATAAAAATTTGATATATAAAGTAAGAGATTAAGAGTGATTTGTATTGACCAAGTGAATAGGAAACGTGACAATAACAGGGGACGAAGGGAGTATATATCATTTATACTATAATTGTTTCCATTTCCTTCTTATTAAATGTTTCATATAATTGCGCAGACCATAAACGATGTTGGATTAGGAGTCACGCAGGCTGGATTGTCACATTATCTCAATAGACGATATGGTAACTCTTCATTAAACATAAATACATCTTATTTTAAAACAATCTACATGCAATTGTATGTCACAATTGGGGTATTCAAATAGAATGGGCTGATGAAATATCTAGAATAAAACAGTTATTAAGAACACATAAACAATCATTCTTTATTAGGTTCTACCAACCCTTATAACCACATTATACCCATCATATCTGTGAAGGTTTTGTTTTTGTCTGTGAATCCGGTTCACAGACAAAATATGTATTATTTTGTGTGTTCAAAATTTGAACTAACAAAATAAGACATATTTTTTCTTTGAATGGGATCACAGACAAAAAAAAAGTCTTGCACAAACATGGTAGATATAAAGATGGGTATAAGGATGAGTACAAATATCTTTTTTGATACCTGAATACTTTCATCCGGGGAAATTATTCTAAATAAGACAAAAAACGTTTGTATATTCAAAAATATGAGTATCATGTTTTTTTTCACAAAATAGGATAAGTTATTATCATGTTTTGGCAATATCAGACTTTCAATATGACATTATATTCAAACTTCACGTTAATTATTCATATTTTGGGAATAAAAACATGTCAGTCCTATTTTTGAATATTCAAACTTGGTGACCTCCTTTCCGAAATTTTTCCTTTCATCAATTAGGACTGATTGAGTGCTATTTTAGAAAAAAAGAAAAAGCATTGGAGGCTTTATTTCTACACTTTGGTTATGAGTTAGTCCTATTTAAACAATATAATCACCAAATATAAAAGAGGATTTAAAGTTTAAACAATCAAGTTCTTAGATCGATGTGATTATAATTCAACATCAGGCGAGGGCAAGGAGAGCCATTTAGGAGATAATATGGATAACGGAAAGCATCTTCCTCACAACATCCTACTTCGGTCAACACTTCTTGTTAACCTAAGACCATCTGCTGGAATACAGGTTCGTTTGAGAACTAGCTATCTGAGACACTAATGTTATGTACACGCCATATCACAGGCTAGTCAAATTATGTGTGCACAGGGGCGGATCCACTAAGGGTCCCACGGGGTCCCGGTACCCCGCGTACTTCCAAAAAAATACCTATATATTTTATATATATTATTTAAAATTTAACACAAAAACAAGTATGAATTCCAAAGAATGGAGCAGAGCAACGGAGGAAAGCCTTTAAAAACCTTTACTTTTCATGGAGGTGAAAGGATGGATTCCCTCTCACTCCTATTCCTCTTTTTTTGATTTATTATTGTAAAAGATCACAACTACATCCTTTTGCCTTTTTTAAAAATCCCCAACTTTACACTTTACATAATTCAATTAATTATTAAAATTTCTATTATGATTTTCCATTATTAAGTGAAGAATTGAATAAAATAATTGGTGAATATGAAATTAATTTGACTGACAATACACATGATCAACATGTTTATTTTGAATCTGTAGAAACATATCCTGGTTTGAGAAAAAAAAATTGTTGATTTGCATCATAATGTTCAAGATGAGTTGCGTCATAGTATGGACTATGAAACGTTGTACTACTTTAATATTTGGAATTTTATCAATTCAAAACTTGAAAGGTAAATGAATTATCAATCCGAGACCTGAAAGAAGATATTTATAGATATAAGACTCAAATAATGAAAATTGTCAATTTAGGACTTGAATGATTAAAGACTATCAATCTCGGACCTATATTGTTATGAATTTTATTATTTTTATGTTAAATTTTTTAAATATTATTTAGTTTTATTAAACTAATAAACTTTTGTGGAAAAAGTTTATCAAAAATTAGCAAAGGAATTAATAAATAAATAAATAAATCAAAATCTATGAAATCTTAGATCCTAGATTGATAATTTTCATCTTTCGGGTCCTATATTAATACATTTCATCTTTCGGGTACCGAATTTATAATTTATCTATCTATAAGGTCCTGAATTGATAAAAGTTCTTAATATTTTGATGATGTACATTAACTATGAAATGTTATGCTACTTTAATATTATATAATTACATTTTTTAAAATTTTTTATTGGTTAGACTTACATTAAGGTAGGGTCCGCCACTGTGTGTGCATAAACAATTTGATCGGTGTTTGGTAAAGAAAAACATTTTTCGCATAGACAAATAAGTTGGCTATGTCACATTGTATAGACAATGTAAGAAAAATATTTTTTGTCTGTGCGAAAAACCATTTTTTCATGAAACGCTGATCAAATTGATTATACACATAAAATTTGACCGACGTGTAAAATGTCGTGTACAAATGATGTACACGAAGCATTGATGTATCTAATATGCTCTCAGCTTTGGTAAATTAATTTGTGTGCTCCGTTCCTGTGAATAACTTAAAAATTTACAAGTAATGAGTTATGTGCGTAGGCATTAGCAGATATGATGGAAAAGGAGTCGGAAGCGAAATGGGGAAATTGGATTGGTTATGTAATCCTCCCATTCAGAATTGCGTTGCGGGATAATCCCTTGGATTATCTAAGAGAAGCCAAGCAAACCATTGACCGCAAGAAACGTTCGCTCGAAGCGCTTTACACTTTTTTTATAGCTGAGTTTGTCCTCAAGCTTTTCGGCATCAAGGTATACATTTAAGTCCCGATTTATGGGACCCCAAATTTTATAAATTTATTAGTAGTGTATAATAATACTCCCTCTGTCCCGTTCGAATGTTTACGTTTTCCTTTTTTGGATGTCCCGTAGGAAACTTCCCATTTCCCTAAATGGAAAGTTATCCTACATCAAAACAGGGTCAAACAGTGCAAAACAGTGTCAAACAGTGTCGAAACTGTGTCAAAACAGTAAAATTTACCCCCTAGTAAGTTTATTTCCTTAATATGTGTGTAGGTCAAACCGAGAACATTCCAACGGGACGGAGGGAGTATTATACTACGTATATTAATACTAATCAGTAAAATATAATTAGAAAGGAAGAAAAATAAAGATCCATCGGTTTTTTCGTTGGTTATTTTAGTTTTCTTTTACTTAAATTGTTTGAATAATGAGTTGGATTGCTTTAAATCAAGTACTCTGTGTTAAGTAAGTTTTAGAATTTATTTATTACATTATTTAATGAGTATTCAATTGATTTAAGAAATGTAGTATTTCGATTGAGATTTTTTTTTTTAGTTTTTTTTATTAATATGGGGTCTCGATTTTACATTTGAAACTGGGACCTCCAAAATCGGCTCTGATTTACATTCCTACACACCTAAATCGCCCCAATGTTAATAGGTTACACAAATAAAGAACTTATCTTGAATAATAATAAGAGTATAATATAGCATGAATTTAAAAATAGAATAATAATCAATCACAATTTTTAAATAAAGGCCTATCATGCCCTAGTTATATGCTCCTTGGTAAAAGACCCGTCATCCTCAGCTCATTTTGAAAACCATCATAATGAAAAACCGGAACAAACTTTTTAATTTTATATACAGCTACCTTCGTCCCGAAAAACTTTGTCAATTTATAAAACTTTTATATTCTATATATGTTTATTAAAAATTATTTATAATCTAAAAATGATCCTTACTAAAAGCAATTTTATAAAAGTATAAAATTCGTAACTTTCATAATATTATACTTGTACTAATCAAAACCACAGTCCAAATCAATTTTGTTTAATTCATTATATCATGACTTCATGGATGCAAACTTGTATTGTATGTACTACTACTTACGAATTTACGATAGTATTTAATTTAATTTTCCCTTTATCTAGGTAGCAGGCTGGTTATCACACAGGATACTTGAGCACACGACGATGTGTTTCTCCAACTTGGTTGGTCCTCAAGAGGAAATCGGGTTTTGTGGTCACCCTATGGCTTATCTTGCTCCTTCATCTTATGGACAGCCCCATGTAAGTTGTAGGCCGGCATTTTAGCTTCGGCCTGAAGAATAGGATATACTACGTCAATTTCAATATATGATCTCATTCCTTTTTCCATTTTTTGGAGAAAATATAAATATATATATCCAGAAAAATAGTTCAAGAATGGCCGGGACAAGCCCCGGCTCATTCATCAAAACAACAATACAATCCATAGTGGTTTAGGCCAATGAAGGCCCTTCCCTAGCAAATCCAAGCAAGTAACACACGGATCCCATCCCAGCGGTGCTTCCTGCATCAAAACCGTCCCAACTAAAATTCACTCGAGGCCCAGTTCCAGACCAGCCCTTCTCCCCAGCAGCTAGCAGACTAGGATTGCAAGGAGTTCCGGGTTGTCCCATTATCCGGCCATCGCGTACTCTAGCGCCGCATGAGAAGGAAGGAGGGAATGAAGAAACCCACAATATGATTATAAGTCCGTGAAAGAGCTATGGTTGCTTATAGGAGTAAAAGTAACTAGTATATACTCAAATAAAAGTAATAGAGTAAATGTTTTTAATAACTAAATATGAGAAAAGATAGGTGTCTAACATTTTATACCATCCTTTTTATTTGGGGATGGCTAAACAAATCTTTGGATGAGAATAACTCGTGATAGATCAAAAAGACTTTTGTGGTTATCTCAAATGAGGTACACAGAGAAAGTGCTGGAGCAGTTCAACAGGGACACAAAGCCTCTTAAAACACCACTTGATGGACACTTGCGATTGAGTTAGAAGCGAAGTCCTACAAGTGAGAAAGAAATTTCGGAAATGCATAAAAAGATTCCATATTCATATGTAGTAGGCAGTCTCAAGTATGCAATGATATGCACACGACCAAATATCGCCTATGTAGTTGGAGTCATCAGTCGCTTCCTGGCCAACCCCAGAATTGAACACTGAGTTGCTGCCAAATGGATCCTCAGATATTTACGTGTAACTTCTAAATAATGTTTATGATTGAGAAAATTAAGGAAAACCTATGTTGGAGGGATACACATATCCAAACTTGGCCATTGATAATTGTTAGTCCCAAAATCAATCAACAATCATACAATAATATAGAAGCAGAGAATCACAGAATGATAGAGATACGTTGATCATTGAAACCCTCTTCTATATACAGTATGATATGAGCGTGAATGTGCGTAGAGGCTTATATGAGAGTTAGGGGTTGCTTAAGTTAGACTCCTTTTATACATAAGGATGTCTAACTTAAGGCTTACAAGTGGGCTAACGGGCTGAAATACATTTGTGGCCCATATTACACATTTAATTAATAACTACACAAATACAAAGATATTTAATTAGATTGGACACCATAAAATATTCTCAACAATAATAATTCAAGGAAATCAATGTTGGATGCTTAACTACTTTTGCAAGGTAGTTGTTTCCTGCCAATGAAAGCTGCAAAACGTGTTGCATTATTCACAAAAAAGAAGACTACATTGCAACTATTGAATATTGCAAGGAGATGCTGTGAATGAAGAACATGTTGTTCCAGCTTGAAATATATCAAGAAATTTACATATTGAAAAGTCATCATCAAAGTGAAATTTACTTTGTAAAGAACTCAACATTTCATTCTCGCACAAAGCATATTGACACACGGTGTCATTGGATATGAGAAGTGCTCGAGGAAAGGAAATTATATGTTGAAAAGGTTCTCACACACAAGAAATTGTCAGACATGATGACCAAAGTAAAATCGACAAAGAAGTTTGAAAAATGCTGCCAAAGTGCATGTTTGTCACTATCCCCAATTAAGTCGGGAGAGAATATTTGTTGGGATCCCTCCTTAATTGGAGAGGTTCTAAAAAATTCTACATCTTTTTCTAGACACTCCCTAGAATCCTAGAGAAGTGCATAGCTCTCTAGAAGATTGGGAAATAGTGTGTAACCCTCTGGTATATTCTAGAGATGTTTGGAACTTTCCTGGACCTTATGAAAAAGTATGAAAGGATATGGAAGGGAGTGGAAGGTGTAGAAACTCTTGGTAGCTAGATCTCTAAAGTATGGAGACATGTGTAGAGAGTACTAGACAACTATTATCTACCAATATTTGGGATGTGCAGTAGTATAAATAGGAGTAGGTGCATTTTTCCTAATCATACAAGCCAAAACTAAATCCACTTCTTAGAGTGAGAAAGCTAGATGGTGAGAAAGCCTCTTTGACAGAGAGGAAAGATAGTTTGAAAAGTCTCTATCCTCAAGCTTGAGTGAGTCACTATAGAGTGAGTTAATTTTGTAAATACATCCTTTTAATCCTACTATCTTTTGTATAGTTGAAGAATCTCCCCATTAGAGAGCTATGTGTGTGTGTTCCCATGACCACCTTTAATTTCTAAGTGCATATTTTAACTTCATGTAGTAGAAAAGTCTAAGTTTTCCCAACAATTACTTTGACTCTTGAGCCAAAGATGTTTAAGGAGTTCACAACCCAGATCAAAGGAATGAGCTATGGAGTTAGCTGGCCGATCGGAATGTTATAATAAACGGCCAGGTCCAAACTCATAAATTGTAAAAGCTACGTACTGAGAAATCATCGAGACAAGGGTTATCTTTGTCCCTTAATTGGATATTACTCGTGGACGTGAGTTAATAAACTTCAAACTGCTATTTAGATGTTTTTCATACGGAATATGTTTTAGTTATATTTATGTCTTTTTCACTATGTCCAAAAGTTTTTTTATGCACACACACATGCACATTATATTTTCTCAATCCAAAAGGTGGAATGGCCCACTTCAGGTCTCCCCACATTATGGACCCATAGAAAGATGGAACAATATATCATTGGGTGAAACTCTCACATTGTCGCTATTGGGATTGAACCTAAGGGCTGAACTCAACTAACACATCATTTGACCTGTTTTATTTATTTTATATTTTTTGTGTTGTCCTGCCATATCCGCCCATGTCCATATTTTCCATGCATATTTGTGTTTCTGGTTTGTTGACTCAGTGGTGCATCTTTTAAAATCCATTGCAAAACCTTCATGCATGCAGGCATTGATGATTAACTTCTTGAGCTATGTAAACAAGATGACCATGGTCCTATCAGTGGATGAAAACGTTATTCCTAATCCACACCAATTGCTAGAAGATCTTGAAATGTCCCTCAACATCATGAAGGATGCTATTGTTTCCAAGGACTAGTGTAATAGTAGTATATGACTCAATATACAATTACATTTTTATTATGTTGAAATGTCTATATCACATCATTAGTAATATCACATATTTTTAATCCGTTTAAGTATGGATTTTAAAAAGCAATTAAAGTGTACGTTATGTGCGCTCCTTTTGATCTCACTTTTCAAGTTTGGTAATTATTTGGTGTAACACCCTACTTTTTGTGAGATAGTTATATCAGTCATTACTTTTAAGTTACTTTTATTAATAATGTGATTTATTATTTCATCATATTTTATTTGTGACATATAGCATTGACCAATAAGATCTAATAATTTAAAATGAATAAATAGACACTATTGTAAAATTTTATCAGTTTATTCGTGAGGAATGAATACTTTTCATTTGGATCAAAATCACATTTTAAGTAATACTAGTATAAAATATTAAGGAATCAAATTACTTAGTTTAGCCCAATTAAAATATTATTAAAAATTCCGGGCCACATGGTTCATGAGTTATGGCAATTGCCACTAGGAATGAACAGCGGGTATTAGATAACTTTTTCACAAGTAACATAATGTGCTATAGGAAAAAAGTAAGTGTACAAGAGAAAAGAGACGGAGAGGGCAATGCCAAGATGCACTTTTACTCATTATTATATGTGTTGTATAAAGTTTTGGTTTAACTGATGGGAATGTTTGACACATTCCCTGCCCTAAAAGACTCATTGGCCATGGTTGGAAGCTTGAATTATTGAGTACTAAGAATGTCTAATTACTAGTTTATATGGAATTGTTTTGTAGGGGTCCCAAAGGTGGTCGCTTGATGAAGCTTCATAGGTTGGCTGATCGTTGAAACGCATGGGGAAAAAATCATAATAAAAAGATTTCTTGTGGTGAGGAGATGGATTCAACATGGGTGAAGAATTCCCCTATGTTCAAAAAATTAAACGATCCTGGAAGTAGAATAATTGTTGGTCTCTAGATCAAATAAATTTCATCACTTTTTATCAAAAGGGTAACCAACAAATATGCATATTCTTTAGCCTTTTTTATATGATCAAAGCAAATACACCCAAAAACACATAAAGTGTGATTGTCGAGCAAACACCAAATAAAATTTCAAAAATTCTTTTATATTAAAGCAATGGATAGTGTGAACAGTTAGTCAAATTAGCAGTAGTAAGAACATATTATCCTATGAAAGTTAAAGGCGGGTATCCATGAATTTGTAATGCCCAAGCATCATTAAGAATAAGTTGATGTTTTCATTCTACCCATCCATTTTACTAAGGTGTACCCACACAAGATGTATGAAAGATTGTTCCATTGGTGATAAAGCAATTTTCATGCAATTAAATTATGTACCATTGTTAGTACGAAATATAGAAATTTTGCTCGAAAACTGATGATCAATCATTGTTACAAAATATATAAACATGCCATAAACTTCCTCTTGATCAACCAATAAATTGTAAACCCAAATAACATCCGAAAATTTATCCACTACTGTCAACAAATTATAAACCCAAATTATAAACTTCCTATTTTAATGTCTTTTTAAATTTCTCGTTAAATCATTCTGCATTTACTTTATGCCTTTATCGATGCCTATCTCAAGAAACTAAAAAATAAATATTAAATTCACCATACAAAATTCACCACCTCATGTGTTCCTCAACTGATTCATTAACGAGGTAGGTGAGGTGTGGTGTAATGATGGACCGGGTACTTAGGGTACTTGATTATATCAGAGAAAGTTATACAACTTCCGACATGCTTTGACATCTTGTCCGAGATTTTCAAAAAAGAGACAACAATATGACTAGACTGTGAGTGAGATGAGCCACCATTGTTTTCTCCATTACAGTGATGAGTACCAAAAGATTGGTGATCACTGATCACCGTCCATTGAGTTGAGAAGGTGGAATGATCCACAACATGTGTGACATTAGATATATATAGTAAAGTGGCTTGGGATGCAGCATCTTCCTAAATACGTTGCTAATGTTCTGGGAAGATATCTTGTAACTCAGCACGATATAAAGTTGTATATCAAACACAAATAACTAGCAATGGTTAGTTCATTGTATTCAGATCCTAACCCATTAAGAATTTAATTAACTATGTTTTCCTTTAAAGCTAAGGGGGTTTGAGCAAGAGTTAGTCTCTCAAAGATAGTATACATCTCGTCCAAATTAGGTGACCCTTTTGTTGGACAAGCCAATGTCTTCTTGAGCGAAACAATATGTTCATGTGTAGTGGTGCCATAAGTGAGAGCTAGCTTCTCCCATGCATATATTATGAGTGCAAGTGGTGGATGAGATCAGTGGCTTGGTTGTGTGCGAGTAGTGGTATCAAGTAGTGTAACAAATAGTGTAATGATAGAGTATATCTAGAGAGAAGTGAGAGCTAGAGAGAGAAGTGCAATAATATGCTTCAATAGAATGATTTTGTAACCCCTATAACTACTCCCAAGGGGAGTATTTATAGAGAAAATACGGGCTGGGCTCCCAAGCCTTGGGCTTGGGAGGCCCATTTACAACTGCACCGCTACTGGGCCGAATACAAAGCCGCTAATGGGCTGTACAAATGAGTAAGTGTAAAATCCGGTTCTTGAAGGTCTTCGTGGCCGACGAGGGCGTGGCCGACGAGGGAACGGCCGACGAGGGCACGGCCGACGAGGGCACCCGGGTTCCTTGGGCTCAGGACCATAATCTGAGTTGGCCCCTTTTCGGCCGACGGGGGCATCTTGGCCGACGAGGGCGCCACTCTGTCTTGTGCTTTCTATTCTTCCGAGTATGTGGGTCCGGGGGCTCAGACCCATATACTCCATCAGGAGTCCCCCACTCTCTAAGCTGAGACGTAGACGAAGTGAAGGAGAGTAGATTCCCGTGCTTTAGTGCTTTTGGCCGATGCGGGCATCCCCGGGCCGTTAGCCGTTGCGGCGTTGGCGTTGTTTCCTCTTTGGTGATCCTGTTCTGTGCTTTGGCCGTTACCTGTCCCTCGCTGTGGGCGGGGAGGCCGTTGTTTCCTTAATGTGTTCATCTGAGGATGATGAGTGTCTTGTTTCAATGGCGGCCGTTGAAGGCACGCTTTCCCTTTCCTGGACGTTGGTGGTTGAAGTTTATGTTTGGGCCGATGAGGCCGTTGAGGTTGTTCCTTGCTTTGAGGACGATGGCGTCCTTTCCTTTGGGTGGCCGATGAGGGTGCTCGCGCACTCCTTTTGGCCGTTGTTGATGATGTCATGTGCCTCTGGCCGATGTGTCCATTGTGATGCGTGGACGATGTGGCCATGCTTTGTGGTTACATTCATGTTCTTTGCATTGTTCCTCTTTGTTTTGTTGAGGCCGATGTAGTCCCCCAGTCCCCCACTGCTTCAGGCCAAAGAGTGTGAGGGGTGAAGGAGTTGCTTGAGTCCCTGGCCGAAGCGGTCTCTCCGTAGTCCCCCTGAATTCAACCCTCATGGCGATTTTCTGGCCAAGGTAACCCTGTGGGAGAACCCTTGTGCGCAGATCGCTTGTAGAGAGTTATCATCAAGGGTCATTACGAGGAGCCGATGGCTGTGGGCTCTTTGTTCCTTTTGTTCTGTGGCCGCTATGGGCGTTTGTTACGTTCCAGGTCGTTGTCGTCTCCTTATTGTTGGCGTTCGTGAACCTGGCAAACAAAATGGGACGTTGTGGGCGCTTGCCGGCGAGTAGGACGATGTGGGCGCTTGCTGGCACTCGTGAAGCCGACACGTGTATGGGTCGTAGAGTCCGTCTTGCCAGTGGGCTGTTGTTATTGAGTTTGGCCCGTTGGTGACGTGGTGGCCTCCCATTGGTGACCGCTGATGTGGCCATTGGGAGGGTGCCACGTGTAGTGACCGTTGGATGGGGGGGTTCTATAAATACCCCTCCCCCTCCGACGAGAAACCACATTTGCATTCTGAATTGTCGAAGTGCTGGCCATTTTTCTAGAGAGATAAACTCCCAAGCTTGTTCTTCGTGTTCTTCGTTGTTCAAGGTTAGTGTTCATCGCCATCTTCTGTACTTTGTGCATACTTTGCTTCCTAGGCTAGTGATCTAGTGTTAGGCGTTTGAACACCCTTAGATCCTAAGTTTCTTCCCTTAGGCTCGTAGTAGTTTGTTGTGATGAAGAGCTTGAACGAAGACTACTACCCGTACGACGACCAACCCTCCACCAGGTCACTCGACTATGAGGTGCTCGAGGAGTTCGAGGAGGAGATAGAACATTTGAGTCCTTACAAATCCGAAGAGCTGGTGGACGATGAAGTCGAGGACGAGGAGTCCGCCTCTTCTTCCAGGGGTGAGGACGCAGGTGCGTCCCGAGTGGTGGACGGGGCGTCCACTTCCACTGTCATTCCCTGCCCGAGGCCGGTGTCTGCCGTGAAGGGAGCAGATAAGCCGAAGAGGGTGAGGAGGCCGAAGAATGGGCCGGGCCTCTCCTACCTGGATCTCACCAACATCTTTTTGATTAAGCCGGAGAGTAGCGCGGCCGACTATCTTGTTGCCCAGATGTATGTGGGGCCGTTTGGGCGGGTTAGGGCACCCAGGCCGACGGACCATGTTCTTCTTCCGCCACCGGGATACTTTGGAGTATACCCGATGAGTTTTGCTAAGGGGTTGAGGTTCCCCCTTCATCCTTTCATCACCAAGTACCTGGACATGGTAGGGCTTCCTCCGGCCTTGCTGACGCCGAACAGTTATTCCTTGATGGTGGGCTTTTTACTCCGGTGTGAGGAGTTGGGCTACAGGCCGACAACGGCCCTATTCATGAATTTGTACCAGATCGGCCGAGGAAGCCACAAGAACTGTGCGGCCTATGCTACTCTTCAACAACTGCCGAAGAAGAGGAGCTTCACGGACTTGCCTTCGTCCATTCATGGGTGGAAGAGCAAGTTCGTTTTTGTATCCCTGGGTGAGAGTGGCACCGAGTTTCCCTCCCTCGGCCATACCGAGAGGTTCAATCTCCATGACCCGCCGAAGAGCTCTATCTTGGATGCTCAGGTGGAGGCTTTCCTGGAAGGGGGGCCGAGGAGCGTAAAGGACTACATTACTGAATACAAGATGACCGCCCTCGGCTTCTTTAGATACCATGTCTATGGTGATAAGGAGGATGACCTCCAACTCTGGCCGAGGATGACCACCACCTTTGAAGAGGCCGATGGCCCGGACTTGGGCATTCCTGCTGAGGCCGATGGTAATTATTTCTTCGGCTTCGTGTCTTTATGTTTTGTTCCTTTGCCTTACTGATCTGTTGTGTTTTTCCTTTGTAGATTTTGCGATGGATCGTCGTTCCATAATGGCTATTGCCAAGGCCAAAGCGGCCGAGGAGTTGGCTGCTAAGGCGGCCGAGGCGTCCAAACGTGCCGCGGCCGAGGGGAGCGGGGCTACTGCTTGTGCGGCTCCAAAGCCTGCCCCATCGAAGAAGAAAAGGCCGGCCACTGACGGCCAGAAAAAATTAACTGAAGCCGGCCTGAACGTCTCCAAGAAGACGAAGAGGGCACCTTCCCCTTCTCCGGCTACCGAGGCCGGTATTCTGGCTGTCCCCAGTGTGGACGATGGTGGTCCCGTCGTGGACCTTACTGCTGCTACCGATGCTGCCCCATCGCTTCCTCTAGTCCAGGAACCACGGACGAAGAGGGCCGGCAAGGAGATTGCCGGTGCCACCTACCAGAAGATGGTAGAATACCCCGTCGGCGGGGGTGTGTTTGATGATGTCGTCCTTGGCCACGACGTCCTGGCCCAGGCCATGCCGGCCAAAGATCGGGCTTACTTGAAGAAGCTCGGGGACGTAAAGATTTACGAGGGCGGCATGGACCTCCTCGTCCAAGTAAGTTACCTTCCTTCGTATGTGTCGTTTTTTTTCGTCGTCCGTGTAGATTCATTTCCCTGACTTTTGTTTCCCTTGTTCTGCAGAGTGCCTTTATGCTCATGGAGAGCCATAAAAGGCAGTATCGGGAGATAGCTCGCTTGAAGGAGCTGGAGCAGAAGGCTGCCTCGGCCGACGAGGCGGTAGCTTGCCTGGATCGGCTCCGGGATGATGCCAGGGCTTTGCAGGCGAGGGCCGATGAAGCCGCTGCAGCCAGGGACGATGCCCTGGCCAAGCTCGAGGAGAGCAAAAGGGAGCTCGAGGAGTCCCAAAGGGCGCTGGAGGCCGAGCGGCGCAAGAACGAGGAGGCCGTGAAGGCGAAGGCTGAGGCCGAGGCCGCCGTTGTGAGGGCTGCTGATGAGGCCGTTGAGAAGTTCCTGGCCGAGGGTGGAAGGCCGATGAGAGGCTCCCCTGGTGCTACGAGGTGGTGGCCGCCAGGCTTGAGA